TTGGAGGGGTTAGGGTGGGAGGGATTGAGAGAGGCAAAGAGTGTCTTAAGGGAAATTCGGGGGAGGGATAGCATGGCAGACATAGGGGAGCTGACGGAAGGCCAGGTGGGCAGGGTTTGGAAAGGGATAGTAGGAAAAAAATGGAAAGGGGAGCACGAAGAGTTTGCGTGGAGAGTCGTCAAGAAGGTAATTCCGGTAAGGGCCGAGCAAAGGAAATGGGGTTTGTTGCGGTCGGGGGAGTGCCCGAGGGAACTGTGCGGGAGGGAGGAGACTGTGGTGCACGTTTTATGGGAGTGTTTTTATGCACAAAGGGTGTGGCAACGAGTGGCAAGGTTTTGTAAGGCGGTAGGGTGGGGGGACTGCGTGTGCTACGAGGGAGCACTGTATGGGTTGGTAAAGCAGAAGGCGAGGGAGTGGGAAATTAGAATCTTACTGTTGTGTACAAGGGTGGCCATTTGGAAAACAAGGTGTCTGTTGGTGCAAAAGGGGTTATATTTTACTTCGCGGGAATGTGTGTTTTTGGCGTATGCAGAATTGGAATACTATCGGAAGAAAGGGGAAGGGGAGTGGAAAGATGTCGATTGGAGAAAATTGTTTGGGTAGAAGGGAGGCGGGGGAAAAGAAGGGCGAAAAGGACTGATATACTGTATATTTATGTGTTTGGTGTTTTGTTTTGGAGCAAATGATGTAAACGAGTATCTGTTTGGGATTTATGTGACGATGGGGACATGTTGTTCAGGTTGTTGAAACAAGGGAAAATGGGGTTTTTGATGTACTGACCTGTAAGTGAAGAAGCTGGTGTTTTTGGCTTTGTGATGATTTGGATACTTTTCTAATAAAAACAAAAACAAAAACAAAAAAACCTGTTCTTATCAGTTGCAATATCTGATATGTTCTCCAATGGAGAGCTGTGTAGCGAGCTTATTTTCGTTCTTTGGAGTTGGACTTGAAGCTTGCTTTTTCCTCTCTTTGCGTCAGCCTGGTATTGTAGTGCTTCCGGGAGTGGTGCCTTTTCCCCCTTTGGGGGTATATAGTAGTACCAAAAATAGAACTTGATGTTTTAAGGAAAAACGGGTAGAAGAGTTTTGTCTCATGGTTATGTGGCTTTTCCTGTATTTGAATAGAAAGTGTGATTGTCAATTGAAATTGTGGTCCTAAGATGCCCAAAGTTTTCTGTTCCCTGTTCTTTTTCTCTTTCTTGACCTTCTGTTTTCCTACTTTTACTCTTACGTTTTCACTAATATCTTCTCACACTTTTAATTTCT